ATAGGTAGGATTGAACATGAGCTTTAACGTTGCTACAGTGCGCATTAGTACATACCAGTAAACCGTCATTCCTCCTTCAGGGTGTATTTATCTGGTTTTCAGCAACCCATTACTCCAAATGTACTTACTGTGTGGGGACCGTTAAAGAAAATCCTAAAGGCGGTGTACATCCCAACAACGGTCGAGCCCCACCCAAAATCTCTCTTTTTTAACCCAATCGGGAAATATTCTCTACCAGCCCTGAGAACCATATCCTGGGTGGCAGAACAGTCAAATCTCGACAGACTAAGAACCAGATATCGATGGATTCATTCGGAATCGATTCCGATGCTGTAATATAAAAGCCTACGATGGACCCGACGTATACCTCTCAGCAAGTATCTACCAAATACACTCATCCCCTCTTCTACGGCGGCAGCATCTCCAACATGACCTCTCGAGACGGATTCCAGTGGACACCCGAGAGCGGGCTCACGCAGGGCGTTCCATCGCTAGGAGTCATCTCACCACCTACTAATATCAAAGATGCGAACAAAGATGGACCGTGGGACGTCATTGTCATCGGTGGCGGATACTGCGGGTTAACTGCCACGAGGGATTTGACAGTCGCAGGTACCTACCCTATCTCACTCACACAGCAATAGCACAAAGTAAATCAGCTAACAAAGACAGGCTTCAAAACCCTCCTCCTCGAAGCCCGAGACCGCATCGGCGGCCGCTCCTGGTCCTCCAACATCGACGGCTATCCCTACGAGGTACCCCCCGCACCAAACCCATCAAACCATCCAACCTAGTTTAATCAAAGCTGTATACAGATGGGAGGAACCTGGGTCCACTGGCACCAATCACACGTATGGCGCGAAATCACGCGCTACAAGATGCACAACGCGCTATCACCCTCATTCAACTTCAGCCGCGGAGTCAACCACTTCCAACTGCGCACCAACCCCGACTCATCAACCTACATGACCCACGAAACCGAGGACGAGCTCCTCCGCTCCGCGCTGCACAAGTTCACTAACGTCGATGGCGCCAACGGACGGACCGTCCTCCCCTTCCCGCATGACATGTTCCATGTTCCGGAGTTTAGGAAGTATGATGAGATGTCGTATGCGGAGCGGATGGAGCAGATCAAGGATGAGTTGAGCCTGAATGAGAGGAGTTCTCTGGAGGCGTTTATCTTGCTTTGCTCTGGGGGAAAGATGGAGAATAGCTCGTTTGGAGAGTTCTTGCATTGGTGGGCGATGAGTGGGTATACGTATCAGGGGTGTATGGATTGTTTGATCAGTTATAAGTTTACGGAGGGGCAGAGTGCGTTTGCGAGGAGGTTTTGGGAGGAGGCGATGGGGACGGGGAGGTTGGGGTATGTGTTTGAGTGTCCGGTTAGGAGGGTTGTTGATGAGGAGGTTGGGAAGGGGGTGAGAGTGACGGCGAGGGATGGACGGGAGTTTGTTGCCAAGCGGGTGGTTTGCACTATTCCGCTTAATGTTCTCTCCACGATCCAGTTCTCGCCTGCGTTGGCTACAGAGAAGGTCTCTGCTATGCAGGCTGGGCATGTGAATATGTGTACCAAGGTGCATGCAGAGGTGGATAATAAGGATATGCGGTCGTGGACCGGCATCGCGTACCCGTTCAATAAGCTGTGTTACGCAATTGGTGATGGGACCACCCCTGCGGGAAATACCCATTTGGTGTGTTTCGGCACGGACACGAATCATATCCAGCCCGACGAGGACGTGCGGGAGACGTTGAAGGCGGTTGGGGAGTTAGCGCCTGGGGAGTTTGGGGTGAAGCGGTTGGTGTTTCATAACTGGGTGAAGGATGAGTTTGCGAAGGGCGCGTGGTTCTTTTCGAGGCCGGGGATGGTGAGTGGGTGCTTGGACGGGTTGAGGGAGAGGCATGGGGGAGTGGTATTTGCGAACTCGGATTGGGCGTTGGGGTGGAGGAGCTTTATTGATGGGGCGATTGAGGAGGGGACGAGGGCTGCGAGGGTGGTGTTGGAGGAATTGGGAACGAAGAGGGAGGAGGTCAAGGCTCGGTTGTGACGGATTAGGGTATTGGAAGGGTGTTTATTGGAACATGAATTTCATACTACATTCAACATAACTATACACGTGAGTAACTGGGGATATAGGCAGTCTATGTCTAGTAGGTGTCGTTGGAGGTGTAATTCTCGCGAGCAGCGAATCTCAGCTCCGTGGCGCCAATATCGAACACGGTGACGACGTTCTTCTGGAAGGTGTCGCCCAGAATGTAGAGATCTTCTGAGGTGTCGCTGCCACCGTCAACAATACCGGTGATGCAGACGGTGTTGCCTTCGTCGTCGGTGCCAGCATCGAGGATCATGTCGAGGGGGTTGATGTAGAAGGTTTTGCCGTTGATAGTGATGCCGTGAGTGGGAGGGGTGGCGTCGCAGTCAACGATGTAGGCGCCCTCGTCGTCGGAGTAAGTCGCCGCAGGAGAGAAAGCGGCGTTGATCTCCTGAGAGATGGAAGTTGGCAGGTAGTTCAGGGTGGTGCCAGAGTCGACCTGCATTTGTTAGAGTCTGATAGATAGGGGAGGGTGTGAGCAACGTACGATGTACTGGATGTCGTCGCCACCAGCGCTGGTCAAGCTCTTGCCGTTCAGAGTGACAGCGTCAATGTTGATGGTGTAGAAGTCGTAGGCCTTGGAGTAGCCTTCAATGTTGGTGACCAGGATGGAGGTGTTGGTGAAGTCTTCGACAAAGTCCACTGGAGGCAAACCGCCCAGAGCAAGATAACCAGCAGCACCGGAGACATCGCGCTCAATGGCCAGACTGAAATAAGGCTCAATCAGTCCCTCCTCCCACATGGTGGTGATGATGTTGCTGTAGACGACTTGCTCGTCGGTCTTTGTGGAGTAGGCGCTCGTACTAGTAGACGTTAGATGCCTACTTGTGCATAAGTCACACGGTGAATACATACAGGGCAGGGTACGCAAGACCAGTCAGACCAGAGGTGGTTCCGTCGCCCTCCCAGGCGGCCTCAGTGACCACGCCGATGGTTTGGTCCACAGTGATATCGGCAAGAGTGACGGTTTCATTGCCCATCACTCCATAGAGGTACTCACCATCGCCATACTCGATAGCGAACTCTTCTCCCTCAATTTCCACGAAGGAGCTCTCGACAGTCCAGGTGGAGCCGAAATCGCAGCTCGACTCGGAGGTCTCGCGGCCGGTGTCGAGGTCAATACATGTGAAGCCGGTCTCGACAACCCAGGTATCACTGGAACCGGTGTCGACGATAACGTCAAACGAATCACCACCGATAGTGATCGAGGTAGCGAACTCCTCGCCTTCGAAGAGGGAGATCAAGGTGGAGCTGCCACTGCTGGTGGAGCGTGTGACATACGCAGCGCTACGAGGGTTCACGTTCCCCTTGGACTTGGTCTTGCTCAGCTCGAGGTACTTGGAGGCGGCCTTGTGTTGACTGGGAGCGGTGAACGGAGTGGGCTTGTAAATGGTGTGGCTGCCGCTTCTGCGGACGATGTTTCTTGCCTTGAGCGGGGAGGGGGTGGGTGCAGCCAGAGCAGCCCCGGCAAGGAGCGAGGCAGTGGCCAAGGTACCGATGGGGATATACATGGCGGCAGTTGAATGAGGAGTGATCTAAGTGATTGCTTGACTGACAGGAGACAAAGACCATGCAGAAGAGGGGTGCGTTCGGGACATTATATAGGGTTGGGAAATTACATCCGGTAGTCGGACTAGACCACCAATCTAGCTACAATTAAACCTGCAGAAATGAGAGACATACGCTGGATTGCAGAATGTCGCTGTTGTCGACCAGGAAAGCTCGCAGCTTCCGGAGTGGCGGTTAGCAATGACGCGATGCGAGTGGCTGACAAGACAAGGCGGGCCTGTATAGTGCTGCCTGATAGCGACGAGACCTGGCTTCCCACTCGATCGCTAGGAACAATAGCGCCGTGTGGGCCCGGCACCGATATTGCTGATAGGGAGCGTTGCGTCAGCACTGGCCCTGGATTGGTGCGAAGCCAGGCCCACAGCAGATAAGACGCAAGGTGTGCGTCGGAGTCCGCAGGGGAGGGGTCAAAGGTTGAGGATTGAACAGAAGATAGATTGGAATATATTGCAGTCGTTAGGGATTGCTTCATGCAGCGGTGTGATCGTGTTGCACTTTTCCCCTCCTGTAATAGAATTACCGAGTCTTGAGTAATTGTATCGGGCATCATCTCGGGGATAACCCTCAGGGCATTAGCGCCCGGAGAAATGTTGACCAGTGCAGTACACGGCGACTGTCATCCGACAAGGCCACTGTGTCGAATCTGAGGCACACATAACTCCCTTCATTTGATTTCCATTTGGTCACGACCAATAACTGTCATCAGGAGGATGGGAATAGAGTCTTCTCCCGTCGAGACATGTATCAACTGCTTTGCATCCGAGACGGTTTTCTGTTTGACATTGGCATGCGTGCTGTGGTCCCGAAACCCACAATTGACACCTGACAGACCCATGACTGGGTAGAAGGGAGGCCAAGCATCGGAGACAACCGAGAGGGGGAGATGGCTTCATGCTTGATGCTGTCAAGCTCAGATCGGCGGATTATCGGAGTAGCTGTCAGATCACGTGGTGGGGCGTTTCCAACAAGAACAGCCCTGTGTTGCTGATATGCGACTTTTCGAAAGTCTATTACCAAACTAGCTCACAGTGCAGAATTGTTAATTAACTGTGCGATAAGGGACATCTTCTCAGTCCCTGCAGTGTATAGGATGGACGGAGATGCCGTGAAGAAAGAAGGGCTGATACCGCATTGGGAGGCAAACACGTGCGGGGAACCTCGGAAGCGAAAGACCCGCTCCGCTCCGGGCGGCCATCGGACATCCGCGGAGTTCATTTCAGCGTCCTTGAAGTTTCCACAACCCTCCCCATATCAGCCCACTATCGGATAGCGCCATCAGCAGCTAATATCCGCGCATACTTGCATGGCGTTCATGCCTTGATGGTCGTCGAGCGGGTCCCCATGGTCGCGACGGACTCCGGTAGTAACTCCCAGTCGCGAGGTATGCCCACCTTTGTCCCATGCGAGCAGATCAAGACTGAACCATTTTTGCTCCCTAGGATGCTTTCAATGCTCGAAGCGCCGGATTGTCTGCGACAGAGGGGAACCTACCTGCTTCAAATGCCAGAAAAAAGGGATCGAGTGCTCAGGATCGGGTCGCTTTCGCTTCAGCCCCGGCCTGGCGACTCGGGGAAGACTAAAAGGCTGCACGATCCCGATACCTGATGTCGACCCCAAATCGGTATACCAAGAAGCCTCAAATACCCCTCGTCCTATTCGGTGGAAGGACGATCGGATAAGAGTCAACAAAAAGCAGAAGCCTCGAAATAGCGGGAAGGAGCCGAACCGGAATGGATTGGCCGTAGAGGGGGGTTCGGTCATTAGAGGCACAGACCATGCACAGTCAATGTCTGCTGGAAGTCGGGACATTGTCTCTGGCTCAGCACAAGTGGTGGTTAGTCATGCACTATATAATGACAACCAGCCCTCAGTAATGGAGATGGCTGTCGGCCAGTGGATCGCACCGGTCGATCACAGAACCCGCGAATCATTCGACTACTTCGCTAGATATGTCGCTCCTGTCATGGTTGTCCTCGATATCTCGAATGGCTACCGGGACATCATCCTTCCCATGGCTTTCGAAGATAGCCTTCTACAGCAGGCTGTTGCTGTTGTTGCCGCGCAACATCTTGGCTCCCGACACCCCTCGTGTCGAGCGGCAACCGAGTCCAGCCGGTCCGCAATAATCTCTCGATTACGACGTGATTCTCTGCTTGGATCACCCGACCTAGTATTCAATTCATCGACTTGGGCAACTCTGATTGTCCTACTTGTTGGGGAAACCGTTACCGGCAGCTCCGAGTATAGCCACCTGTTACGGACTCTCCTTACTCTGGCCCAAAACATGAAATCTGTCGGAAATACCGAGCTGAGAGATTTTCTCACAAAGCAGACGGACATGTTTGCGTTCCTCGGACAGCCACTTCTGAATGAGGACCTAGGCGCCGAGAGACTTAGAAACCCTGTCGACCCAAGTGTCTGGATGGCTTCGAGAGTGAATGCTGATTCGCACCATCACAGAACATTGTCGCTGGTGAAACAAGTCTTCTCAAAAGGCGCACAAATATACCTTCAACGTGCGACCACGAATCAAAGTTCTTGGCACGTGTTGGAAGAGCTGCGCCAGCTTCTTTGTCAGATGAGCCCCACGGAGCCGGGTGCTCATGGATTCGTATGGTCATGTTTCATTGCAGCAGCGGACAGCGTTGACCCCGAGCACAGAGCCTTTTTCAGCGAGTATCTGAAAGGGGTGTATTCACGAACAATGTTCGACAATATTCCTAAAGCTCTTGATGCCTTGCCTGCCATTTGGGATCTGCAGGGTTCCGCTAAGTGGACCGAAAACCTGCCCCGTCTGTCACCTATTTTGATCATGTGATCAGTACCTCCCATATGGGGACTTCATCATCACTGCCATGAGAATTCTCGGTTCACCTCCAATCTCAAGCTCGTAGCCGCTGTTACAGCTTCGGTCAGCAGGGGTGATGTTGACATGTCTCCGAGTTGGCTACAGCGTCTGCTGAAGTGGACTTTATCGTGACCTTCAATACTTCGACATCGACTAACAAGCGCCAATCTGGCGACTTTTCCAAGTACGAGGTGTTATGAATGGGACATACTGTTATTCACAAAGGTATCCGAGCTATATGAGCACCACTGACTGCCATCAAAAGCTCATCACGAACGTAATCACCGGTCCTAAGCCACTAGCCGGCCTGGCCAGGTCTCACAAAGGAACTGACTGTTGGGTGAAACCACAGCTAGCAATATTTCCGAGATGCATGCGTTTCCTCGGCTCAATGGATGCACAGTATATAGCCTCCATAGGCCACCAATTAAAATCGACTACTTGACAATTCAATTGGACTTTACAAGAGATTCGCAATGGTGCCCTTTCTTGTCACTGTTTCTGCAGGTGATCGCGCAATGAAAGTATCGCACATTCCGGACAAAACACAGCCAGATAGTGAAGTCGCTCAACCTGGCAGAGAAGCTGTGTAGAACGTTGGGAATACAAGTCTTCACCACTTGTGAGAATCTATTTTTCCAACATATGAGAGCCGACTAATACACATTGTAATTTTCAAGCCTGAAAAATTTCTAGTGTCGGGCCATTGAAGGACAGAAGAACTTATGAGACCGCCAACTGTTACACTGTGAAAGGTCAATTACTTGCATGTGGTACATACGTAATGTGCGCTATACTCTCTGAATGTCGATGGACACCGATTGCAGATATACACACGAAAGCTCAGCTGGAACGCAAATCACAGACGAGAGGTTGTGCAAGGGTGCAGACAATCTGTGTTCACGACGTTGAGTCACCATACATTGACAGCCTCAGGCGTCGAAAATTCTTGTCTTCACTTCCCTTGTAGGATAGAGGGAAATCGCGTCCTGTTGTCTTTGCAATGCAACCTAAATTGCAAAAGTAGAAAGGAAACTAGTGCTTGTATGTGATAATAAGCGGCTGACAGGGATAACAATGTCTACCTCTCTTGTAATTGACTGGCCAAGTATTCAAGCTCGGAAGTGTCCGTGAATAGGAAAGAGGGAGTTCCCTGAGATTCAGGCCTGGAACGAACTGATATTCACAAGTTATAGAAAAGTCCCGATGGAGCTCTTTTCGCCACCAAGGGTATTAATACCAGCCAAGATCCACTGGGATAAGTTGCCCTACCGACAGGTTCACCAAAATCATGATGCAATGAATGGGGGCTAAGGATGGAAGGGACTCCAGGCTCTACCTTCTATCTAGACCTCATTAACACTTGTCCATGATGAAAGTATATAAATTAATACAACCCTATAATGCATGGCCTTGCCGATTCCCTATACGAATATCTCGACACCACCGCCTAATAGGTGTTTGGCTGGCCACAGCTACTGATAATCACGAAGGCCGAGCTGATATTATCCCTTCTATCTTTTCCTCTACAACAATATATGCGGCGTCGCATTCTACGGATGGAAATAACTACTGCCATTCTATGAGAAGGGCCGATCTGTATATCCGTTGTGGTTGGTCTCAGTACCATTTTCATGCATTGCTTCAAGTATGAGTTCCTTGCCCTTCTGTGTCGAGTGCGACCAAGGGTCAGAGTCTAGAGAGAGTGAGACAGAAGAGAGTGTGTGCAATGATTTACATTGTATACCCATTCGGAAGCCCTCTACTCCCTTTCTGATATTATCAAACTCATGAATATAGAGTACAGCCCATCATATCCCCTGTATGCGCCAAACCTGTGGGTCCCTTCATGTCCAGCAATGGTGTCGCCTTTCCAAGAGTAACCAGCATCACAACAGACCTCAACCTGGTCCTGGAAGGAGAGAATTTAGCTGGTTATCTTCTCTTTGCAATCACAGTGGTGTCTGGTGCTTGTTCAAAACAATGCCGGCTCAAAAGACCCGGCCTTGTTTTCTGGGCAACAAGCCTTACCTTCCAGGTAGGCGGCAGTGCGGCTGGCATGAACGAAGGCCTTCTTCCCTCATCTCGGGCCCATCTTATATGCTAGAAGTGTATGGACCTGAATACGAATGCTTGGGATGAACAACATCGGTGTTATTCTCTCTACGCTAAACCTATAATATTTCTGACGATGAAGAAACGGATAGGTTACCCTGCATATTTATCTGCTCTTGCATCTGCTGTTCTCTTTACCTTTTATTTGGTCGTAGGCTTGACACGTGATGAGGAGTACTGTTCGTAATGCATACAATGTGCTTCAATTGATTGCAATAGACGTGCGGGAAAACAATGACATGAACGAATCTGTGGTTCTAGACCCCAGTCAGAGGTTCTAATTGCCGGAGAACCAGGGAGCTAAACTACTTTCGTAGATCCAGGGACTCTGGCTGGAGCTTCACACTTCGCCTGACTGGTTTAAGCGCCTTCCGGTAAGTACGGCCAAGCATATCAGTCGGGTCAGTTACTTACCTGCCTTACCACCCGGCAGAGACCCACTTCTTTTTCCCACTTTGGACGTGTACTTACTTATCTCTGAAAGCTGTTTATCTAATATGATTCCACCTCCACAAAACCGAGCGCGCACTCTCAAGGGACTGCGAAGAAGAGCCAGTCAACCTCTGTAATGTTCTGAATCCCTGCAGTTGGTGCGGCGTTCCTGACAATAAGATGTGGAAAATCAACATGGCGAAATCCCCATGTGTATCGTATGAGATCTTCGATCTACTTCGCTTCTTGTTCGTTGCGATGAAACTTGTCGCCTTGGGCTAATTCAGGCGGTGTGGAACCGGTTCCATGCTGTTGGGTTGTGGAATTTTCGTCATATCACCGCTATGGGGTCCCGCCTTCTCTACTGAGTAGTGATATAAAATCCTTCCTCACGGCCTCTCTCAAAAATCAAACTATTGCTTCTTTTCTACTCACTGACAATATTTCTATCTTTACCGTCTACTCCATCTCTTAGAACTCTTGTCCACACAATCTCGACCCTGCAACCCGATACACTTTCTTGTTGATATCTTCCACGATGTCGGCCCACCTAAACGCTTCTCATACTGCCACTCGACAGACCGCAGGGCCAACGGTCGACAATGGAAAACATATCATTGGGACAATTCCATGCGTTCTAAATTCTACCTCCTTCGATATCGCTCCTTCAGGCGATTTGTTAAACCAGGCCGCTCTACCTCCTCATCATCAGGCCCAGACATACATCGACCCGAGGCATCTGGACGGAGGTCGCTTCCTCGAACTTCCGTGCCAGTACCCATGGAATGCTGGAAGCGAGTTCAATATGCTGACCGCCGTGGAGAACTGGGATTTCGTTACCGCGGTTCAGCCAGGTCTCGCGCCCCGGAACCAACATTACCAAGCCGGCACACAACAGGAAGCTATTCCATGGAATGGCTTCGCCGTCCCAGGAGTAATGACACCATTGAACAGACCAGGCAACAGTCCTGTGGAAGGGTATATTGACTCCCCTGGCACTCCATTTAAAGTCTGTCATACGTCCAGCTAACAACCAAGCAGCAATACCCCTCTCCGGTGCGACTGGGCGAATTGCACGGCCAGACCAACCTTCAATAGATGGGCAGACTTGAGCAGACACATCAAGACCATTCATGTGTTTCCTGCTTCCCATGTGTGTGAGATCTGCGATCAGACGTTCAATCGGAAGGACAACCTCATGGAGCATCAGTTGCGGACCCATCGATTTTAATGAAGCATCCTGCTTCTGTCCTTTGTTGAGCGAGATTTCCATTTGCAAGTTACCTGTTTCATTTTTGCGTTTTCTAAATTTCGGTGATCTACTCCATCTATTCCTTTTCTTTTTGGCGCTTCCAACTATACCTTTTAGCATATGCATTTCGGGCATCTCTGGTTATTCTTATTGTGTTATATCAGCGTACTAAGACGGGGCCTGTGATCTGCGGTAGATTTGTTAAAATACCCCTTGTTTTAGAATTAATCGGAATCATTTAAGTGACATAAAGTCTGTATCGAAGTGTGGAACTTCTGCTAGCCGGGTTTCAGGGTCGGTCGGCTATATGCTCCTCCCGCCGACCGATAGAGTACAAGCATACCTAGTGCCCCTGCGAAGTGTGTGGGGGTTTCATATACTGGCAGTTCACTGCACCCGAGCCACGTATGCTACACAACGCAGAACCTCCACAGAAAGACATGGGAAACGGCTGGACCCCATTAGAAATCCCAGAACCATCCCACGGGGGGAAAAATCGAGGCATGCGTGGCGGTGAAGCCAAAATGTGGCTAGTGAGCCCAGTGCCTTGTGTGTGTCCAAGGCAGTTGCCCTGTGCCTGGACACGTAAGTACTGACTCCTTATGCAACAGCTTGTTATTGGCTTGATTGGTCGTTTTTGCTTATTTGTTCTTCGTCGCGTCGAACCCTGATTGGTCTGGGCGCGCTTACAGGAGGTCCAATGGAATGGCTGCTACCTAGGAGTAGTTCGTCTGGATCAGACCCACCGGCTAGCCTTACCAGTCGCCCAGGGAATCCGAATCTCTTCACGCATAGAGACTTTGAGGGAAGGCATCCGGGCTATCGGAGATATCGGAAATTTCAGCATAAAATTGCTTTTAGGTCTGCTCGTAGATTTAAAGTCTCCGGACCCACTGAATAGAAGCCCACGCGGTCCGAGCTCGGACCGACCCACTTAGCCGAGATCGGTTCCAAGGTTATCTTCCGAGGGATGGATAATTCTCCGATAAGGATGGGGATGCGTTGGTTCAATGTCTCTTGATATTACTTTGATATGCTGTATGTATTTGGTTCTAATGGACCATTGGAGTACTAACGATTGCAGGTATTTTAATGGTGTACTACGTACCTAATTCGTTTTCGATTGTCATTACATCTGTTGATCTACCTGGGTTATTCATCTGAACTCAAA